TGGCTCCTCCAGCTCCCAGGGCTCTGGCTGCATCAGGGTAGCTTCATGTGGCTTCTCGTCAGAAATGTCTTGCAGGGAGTGGGCAGAGAGAGTGTCTCCCGCCTCCAAGGGGGAAAAACAGCAGTTCCCAGAATCCTCAGGAGAAGGCCACGCCCACACGGAGGCCTCATTGGCTATGACCCGATTGACAGACTAGACTCCACCCCTTCACTCTTCATCCTCTCAGGTCCCACCTTGACACGAGATGATGTAACTACCACATCTGTGCTCCTCCCACTTCCACACTGCCACCGCCCCTTTTCGCTCACCTGACCTCCCTTGCTAAGCACACTGCCCCTTAAAAGAAACAAGATAGTGCTGGGGGAGCTGGAGCCATGGACTTTGCCTGGACTTTGTCTCCTGCTCTGCAAGGGGACTTGAGATTGGAGTTGCTTCCCCACCCGACCTTTGCATCTCTGCGGGAGCTCTGCAGGGCCCACAGGTCAGGCACTAGCCAAGCTGCTCACAGAGAAACTGTGAGCTAGATAGAAGTGACTTGAATTGTCCAGGGTGATATAATGGTGAGGAGAGTGAGGATCCTATCTTGTAACCCTATAATCGGTCTACTGGTGACTCCCCATTAGCCGTGGGTTTGGATCTGGCTTGCTCCGTCTGCCTGTCCACTCACCACCCCCGTCATCCTCCCAGATGCGACATCCCCTTCTTCCCTTCCTGCTACCAGCGATCCTACCAAATGCCAGTCTAGGCAGGAGCTTCCCGCCACACAGACAGGATTCCCTAAGAAGGGAGGGCGGCTTTCCAGGGCAAAAGTCAAGGAAGCCTTGAAAATTCAGCAAAAGACCCCACGATGAAAGGGACAACAGATGGGAAAGAGTTAACCATTCGATGGAAGCCAGACTTTCGAGAGTTTATTGAGGCCGAATGAATCCCCCAAACGCTTGCCCTGAAATCATCTCTAAACTGGAACCTCAAGCCCAAACAACCCCTTGAAGTCTTCTTGGGACTAAACCATACACAGTGCAGCTTCATTAGTGCAGCAAGTCTGCCGCGGGCATGAGGGTCTTTTAGGAATGGTCTATATGGGGACAGAGGGACAACGGCAACCGGGAAAGATAGGGGACTGAGAGGGCGGTGGGCTTGCTCATCCAGAGGAGGGTGAGAGGGGCTTCAACACTTGAAGGTCGTCTGATTGGTCCCTGATTGGTCCCTGTAGGAAGTTGGATTGGTGTGTACAACTTCAACCACAGTGGAAACTAACAGAAATGGTCATAAAATATTCTCCAAGTCAGCCAAGGATATGAATAGATATTGCATTTATTTTTCTGGCTCCTTTAAGGTGTGCACTGTTCTTGAACTGGTCGAGTCCAGGCACAGGTAAAGCCCTGGCTCCTCCATGTCCTAACCAGTCCAGGGGGACCCCAAAGACTTCCTATCCTTCTAAATTTGGGAGGGGCAAGAAAGGAGGGGGTGCCCAATGGCTGACCTGAATCTAAATTTCTACGGAGGACATGCTGATGACTAATGATCCCATGAAAAGATGCTCAACGTAATTACTATTGCTGGCTCTACTCACTGGCACCGAGTTGATTCTGACTCCCAGGGACCCGCTCAGAACCGAGTAGCCCTGCTCTGTGGTTTCCAAGACTCAATCTCTTTATAGGAGGAGACAGCCTCATCTTTCTCCTGCAGAGCAGCTGGTGGGTTCAAGCTCCTGACCTTGGTGTTAATAGCTCAATGCATAACCCACTGCACCACCAGAGCACCTTTCAAAAGAAGTCATTATCAGTCAGTGCACATCAAAACCACGATCTGACACCGCCCCTAGCCAGTCGGATGGCAATACTTAAAAGGATAGATAACAAGGAGCGTTGGGGCGAAGGTGGAGAAATGAGAACACTCACACATGACCGGTGGGCATGGAAAATGGGGCAGCCATGATGCAAAACAGTCTGGGATTTTTTAGAAAAGGGAACTAGAGTTACCACATGACCCAGTCATTCCACTCCTACATGCGTGCTTCACAGAAATAAACATGTGTCCTCACAGAAAGTTGCCCACAAATGCTCACTGGAGAATTATTCATAATGGCTCAAGTGTCTAACAATGTCGAATGGATGA